TTTCCTAATTGCAACTCTTTGATCATTTTTGTTGCATGGACACCTAATTATCAATTTGTACCTATAAGATAATAAATCCACCAATTAGAAATGAAATATAAATTAATCCATAAAAAAATCCAGGTAAACGTAAACATTGAGTGTTATTTCTACACTCCACTATATCTTTTGTATTTAGTGTTTTTGCTATTGTTTGGTTATGCGTATTAAAGTCCTAGTGTTGTATTTCGTGTTTTTAAGAACGTTGTTGCGAATGTACTTTTGCGCATGTTTTTTCACATGTACGTTTGTGCATGTCCATTTGAGCGAGTGTGTTTGTGCATGTTTGTTGATTTGTATTAATGTACTAGGATTGTAGTTTGTGTTTTGTTGATCCTTTTTGCGAATGCACTTTTGCGTGAGTACTTTTGTGCATGCTTTTCTACTTTTACTTATGTGCATATATTTTGTAGTGAGTGTTTTTGTGCACGTTTCTTAATGCCCATTCGTGTCCTCGAACTGTAGCACGTATTTTCATGATCACTTTTGTAATCCAAATTTGACCACGTTCGATTCCGAATTGGGAAATTTGACATTAGACAGGAATTGTAGCCAGCTAAAATAGCTTCCTAATGTCGTCGGAACAATTTGATTTGGAGTCCGGATGATAATGTTATGCTCAACTTCGTGGACACTACCGAAGATGTTGAGGGATCCTCTCTTCTAATTCGATTTTATTTTCCTAATTGCAACTCTTTTCTTACTCTTTGATCCTTTTTGCTGCATGGACACATAATTATCAATTTGTACCTATAAGATATTAAATCCTCAAATTAAAAATGAAATATAAATTAATCCATAAACAAAATCCACGTAAACGTAAACGTTGAGTGTTATTTCTACACTCCACTGTATCTTTTGTATTTAGTGTTTTTGCTATTGTTTGGTTATGCGTATTAAAGTCCTAGTGTTGTATTTCGTGTTTTAAGAACGTTGTTGCAAATGTACTTTTGCGCATGTTTTTTTACATGTACGTTTGTGTATGTCCATTTGAGCGAGTGTGTTTGTGCATGTTTGTTGATTTGTATTAATGTCCTAGGATTGTAGTTTGTGTTTTCGTGATCCTTTATGCGAATGCCATTTTACGTGAGTACTTTTGTGCATGCTTTTGTACTTTTACTTATGTGCGTATATTTTGTAGCAAGTGTTTTTGTGCACGTTTCTTGATGCGCATCTATGTCCTCGAACTGTAGCACGTATTTTCATGATCGCTTTTCGAATCCAATATTGACCATGTTCGAGTCCGAATTTGGAAATTTGACATTAGAGAGGAATTGTAGCCAGCTAAAATAGCTTTCTAATGCCGCCGGAACCAGTTGATTTGGAGTCCGGATGAGAAAGTTATGCTCGACTTCGTGGACACTACCGAAGATGTTGAGGGATCCTCTCTTCTAATTCGATTTATTTTCCTAATTGCAACTTTTTTCTTACTCTTTGATCATTTTTGCTGCATGGACACCTAATTATCAATTTGTACCTATAAGATACTAAATCCACCAATTTAAACAAAAATATAAATTAATCCATAAAAAAATCCACGTAAACGTAAACGTTGACTTTTATTTCTACACTCCACTGTATCTTTTGTGTTTAGTGTTTTTGCTATTGTTTGGTTATGCGTGTTAAAGTCCTAGTGTTGTATTTCGTGTTTTTAAGAACGTTGTTGCAAATCCATTTTTGCGCATCTTTTTTCACATGAACATTTGTGCATGTCCATTTGAGCGAGTGTGTTTGTGCATGTTTGTTGATTTGTATTAATGTCCTAGGATTGTAGTTTGTGTTTTCGTGATCCTTTTTGCGAATGCACTTTTGCGTGAGTACTTTTGTGCATGCTTTTGTACTTTTACTTATGTCCGTATATTTTCTAGCGAGTGTTTTTGTGCACGTTTCTTGATGCGCATTCGTTTCCTCGAACTGTAGCACGTATTTTCATGATCGCTTTTGGAATCCAATTTTGACCACGTTCGAGTCCGAATTTGGAAATTTGACATTAGACAGGAATTGTAGCCAGCTAAAATATATTTCTTATGCCGCCGGAACCAGTTGATTTGGAGTCCGGATGAGAAAGTTATGCTCGACTTCGTGGACACTACCGAAGATGTTGAGGGATCCTCTCTTCTAATTTGATTTTATTTTCCTAATTGCAACTCTTTTCTTACTCTTTGATCATTTTTGCTTCATGGACACCTAATTATCAATTTGTACGTGTAAAATACTAAATCCACCAATTAAAACAGAAATATAAATTAATTCATAAAAAAAATCCACGTAAACGTAAACATTGAGTGTTATTCTACACTCCACAGTATGTTTTGTATTTAGTGTTTTTGCTATTGTTTGGTTATGCGTATTAAAGTCCTAGCGTTGCACTTCGTGTTTTTAAGAACGTTGTTGCGAATGTACTTTTGCGCATGTTTTGTCACATGTACGTTTGTGCATGTCCATTTGAGCAAGTGTGTTTGTGCATGTTTGTTGATTTGTATTAATGTCCTAGGATTGTAGTTTGTGTTTTCGTGACCCTTTTTGCAAATGCACTTTTGCGTGAGTACTTTTGTGCATGCTTTTGTACTTTTACTTATGTGCGTATATTTTGTAGCGAGTGTTTTTGTGCACATTTCTTGATGCGCATTCGTGTCCTCGATCTGTAGCACGTATTTTCATGATCGCTTTTGGAATCCAATTTTGACCATGTTCGAGTCCGAATTTGGAAATATGACATTAGACAGGAGTTGTAGCCAGCTAAAATAGCTTTCTAATGCCGCCGAAACCAGTTGATTTGGAGTCCGGATGAGAAAGTTATGCTCGACTACGTGGACACTACCGAAGATGTTGAGGGGTCCTTTCTTCTAATTTTATTTTATTTTCCTAATTGCAACTCTTTTCTTACTCTTTGATCATTTTTGCTTCATGGACACCTAATTATCAATTTGTACATATAAGATACTAAATCCACCAATTAAAACAAAAATATAAATTAATCCATAAAAAAATCCACGTAAACGTAAACGTTGAGTGTTGTTTCTACACTCCACTGTATCTTTTGTATTTAGTGTTTTTGCTATTGTTTGGTTATGCGTATTAAAGTCCTAGTGTTGTATTTCG